GTTACAGGGAACCAGGCAGAGGGCCTTCTCGGTAGTGGCCCCCGCCCTGTGGAACACCCTCCCACCAGATGTCAAAAAGAAAAACAACTACCAGACTTTTAGAAGACATCTGAAGGCAGTCTTGTTTAGGGAAGCTTTTAATGTTTGACGGACTATTGTATTTTAATATTCTGTTGGAAGCCGCCCAGAGGGGCTGGGGAAACCCAGCCAAATGGGCAGGTTATAAATAAATAAATAAATAAATAAATAAATAAATAAATAATAATAATAATAATAATAATGTGTGTGTAGACACACACACACAATTTAAAACAGACTGATAATTACAGTAAAAACAGCATGGCACCAGCCCTTTCATTGGAATTAGTCTGTTCCCAAAAGCCTGCTGGGACAAGAAAGTCTTCACGTGCTGGTGGGAAGACAACAAAGAAGGAATCTGATTAACTTTTCTAGGGAAAGACTTCCCCAGTCTGGGAGCAGTCCCCAAGAAGGCTACTTTGCTAGGATGAGACTCGGAGGCACTGTTTTACAGTGGCTCTGTTCCTTCCTGGAGGAGCAAACCTAGAAGGTGGTTCTGGTGGACTCCTGCTCAACACCTTGGTTGACGGCACTGAAGGGCGCTGAGAGGTCCAGCAGAACCAGCTAGGACACATCTCCCCTGGCCAATTCCGGCTGTACATCATCCACCAAAGCTGTCTCGGTCCCATAACCAAGCCTGAAACCAGACGGACATAGATCTAGATAAGCCAGCTCCTCTGAAAACCCCAGTAGCTGATTGAGTCTTACCTGGCACTTGTTAGGTGCAACACACTCTCTCCACGATTTTACTTCTCTGCTGAGGTGAAAGTTGTTGCTATCAGCAGTTTGGCACTGAGTGGAGGAGCTTGGAAACGAGTTCTTCAGGTATACAGCTTGGAAACGAGTTCTTCAGGTATACAGAGGTATGAATATTCTATCCTCCCACATCTGGATCCCCGGCCTACCTAATTTCCCTCCCACTGCTAATAAGAATAATATTAATAATATTTATTTGGGTACACTACCCATTGGATTGGGTTGCCCCAGCCTCTCTGGGCAGCTTCCAACAGAATATACAAAGACACAACAGAACATCAAACATGAAAAATGTCCAGATACAGGACTGCCTCTAGATGTCTAGGAAAGGTCGTATAATTGTTTATTTCTTTGACATCTGACAGGAGGTTGTTCCACAGGGCGAGCGCCACTACCCTCTGCCTAGTACCCTGTAACCTCAGGTGCGAGCTGCTTAAATGTTCTGCTTAAATGTCCCTCAGCTTTGCCCCCAACTTCAGCCCCACATCCAAGCTTGCCTGCCATTGGCCAATATGGCAGGCAGGCTTGGAAAGGCATAGGGGGTGTTATGTCGCCCACCAGCCTGCTCAGGTCGGATCCCAACACCTGAGACTCCCTTGTCGGGTCCTTTGGAAGCCTTCACCAGCTCGCAATGCCGCCACACCATAAAGGTGAGCAGGCTCCTCACCATGAGGGAACCACCAAAAGGACCTTCAAAGCTGGACCTCAGTGTCTGGGCTGAACGATGGAAGTTGTGGAGACGCTCCTTCAGTTATACAGGGCCAAAGCTGTGTGGGGCATTAAAGGTCGACACTACCAAGTGAAACCATAGTGCCCATGAATGCTACTACACCCATGAAATCTTAGGGTAACCATGAAAAGGCTGCTCTCGGTGTAATCACTTCATAAACAGTTGGCGTAGGTAGACTTGGCCCCTGTCCTGACCTACACTACATCCTGCTCTGTTTCCTCTGGCTGTAAACAGATACAGTGGTACCTCGGGTTACATACGCTTCAGGTTACAGACTCCGCAAACCCAGAAATAGTACCTCTGGTTAAGAACTTTGCTTCAGGGTGAGAACAAGAACAGAAACCGTGCTCTGGCGCTGCGGCAGCAGCAGGAGGCCCCATTAGCTAAAGTGGTGCTTCAGGTTAAGAACAGTTTCAGGTTAAGAACGGACCTCTGGAACAAATTAAGTACTTAACCCGAGGTACCACTGTACTGATCTTCCTTCCACTGAGAAGGTCAAGGTAGTTGTGGGCCAGGGCTCCTCCTGATGACCTATTTATTTAGCAATCGTCTTGATTTACTTTCACAAGGCTTACAATACATGGAGGCCGGGGTGTCAACTTGAATAAAATATTGCCAGGAGGAGGGCAGATAAGCCCGGTCCCGAATCAATCACAGGATGCTATGCATGCACACTATTTGAACCGTAGTCCAAAAACAGCTGGAGATCCAAGTCAGTGTCCAGTGTCCTGTCCTTTGAATGCTCAAGGCCTGCAGGGGAAGCCTGGCCGTATCAATAGTCTAAGACAGGGGTCAGCAAACTCTTTCAGCAGGGGGCTGGTCCACTGTCCCTCAGACCTTGTGGGGGGCTGGACTATATTTTGGAAAAATAATAATGAACGAATTCCTATTTCCCACAAATAACCCAGAGATGTGTTTTAAATAAAAGGACACATTCTACTCATGTAAAAACATGCTGATTCCCAGACCGTCCGTGGTCCGGATTTAGAAGGCGATTGGGCCGGATCCAGCTCCTGGACCTTACTTTGCCTACCCATGGTCTAAGTCGAATTCAAGGTAGGAATCCAGAGCACCTTGGAGAGCTCACAGGGTCGCTTTGAGGCCACAATACAAGTTGTTGTGTCTGCAAGCACCTTTTTCATTTTTTTAAAAATGATATTTATTAAAATTTCAGAGAATACAAGAATTACACAAAAACAAAAAGTAAAAGTACAAGAAAATACAAAATACAGAAAAAAGAATAAAAGACACTTAAAGAGAAAAAGAAAAGAAAAATGAATCAATCTTTCCATAACTTACATTCATATCCTTGTTTCCCTGACCTCCTCATACCTCCCTTTTTTGTATTCCAGTTCAATTAGTTAAGTCAGCAATTTCTTTCCCTCTTTGTTTTCTCATGATTCTTTAACTTAATATACTATAACTTTAAATTTTCATCTGTTATCAATCCTTTTTTACAAACACCTTTATACAATTACTGCTTAAACCACCTAGCTTCATTCCAACATCATTCTAACATTCATTAATTTTACAATATTTCTGTAAATAGTCTTTAAATTTCTTCCAATCTTCTTCCACCGACTCTTCTCCCTGGTCTCGGATTCTGCCAGTCATTTCCGCTAATTCCATGTAGTCCATCACCTTCATCTGCCATTCTTTCAGAGTGGGTAGGTCTTGTGTCTTCCAATACTTTGCAATAAGTATTCTTGCTGCTGTTGTGGCAGCTGCAAGCACCTTTTTCAGGGCAGCTCCACATTTAACCCCAATAATTTGTAATTGTTTTTCATTTAAATACAAGCACAACATTCTTACTAAGTTTCATATGGAGTACATAGTACACAAGCAATACATTTATTTATGTATTATCAATTACAAGTATCCTCTCCACAGATATTCTTGTGTTGTAGGTGGAATAAAAGTACATTCTGTCACATTTATTGTGGAAAAGGAAGGAAGCCAATGCTGGGTTGCTGAATGGAGGACGACAGCCCCAAGGCCCGATTGACATCCTGATAACGCCAAGGTTGCAGGTTCAATTCCTGTACGGGACAGCTGCATGTTCCTGCATTGCAGGGGATTGGACTAGATTATCCTCAGGGTCTCTTCCAACTCTACAATTCTATGTTGAACAAGAACTTTAGGAAGGTGTAGTGTTCCCAAAGCAAGGAAGGATTGGACTCTGATTAATAAAATACACACGAGGCTTGACCAGCAAGACTCTGGGAGGAGGTGCCAATAATAATAATAATTCTGTCCACCCCTTGGCCCAGGTTGTTTTATTCACAAAAGAACTTTTTACATAGTGTTCGTAAGAACCAATCAGATTTCCTCTGAGCATTTCAAAACCGCCATGTGGGACAAAGTCAGATCAGAAGAAATACTTTTAACTACAAAGAAACTATTTCCTACTTGAGCATGCATATGTTCTGGGGTAAAACAGGACTAAAAAGGAGGAATGCATTCAGCAAAACCCCAGAGGTCATAAACAGGAGAGGCATCTCCTTGTGAACTCTCTTCCTGGCCCTTAAGATCTATCTATCTAAACTACATCAAAGTAACCTACTTTCTTTGTGTACTGACGATGCCTGATGAAGCAACTGGCCTGTGTTTTAGAATGCTTATACGTGCCTGTCAGGTGTAGAGAAAGCAAATGGCAGAGATGCAGAGGCTTGTGGGATTTGATCAGAAATTGTCAATGAATCAAACCCAGTCAACGCAATGCTTTCATTGCTGACACAATGGCTTGCTCCATATTTCATAATTCCTCATAGTAATCCCACCTGACCACTATAGAAGGCATGATGGAGGGAGGATAAGTGAGGGCTCTGGTCTGGGGCTGCACCAGATAGAGTGTCCTGGTCTTCAGGTTCCCCACTTCTGTTCCAATGATTAAAGTAGTCATCTACTACAAAAAATGCCACAATTTTAATATTTTTTGCATTCTGTGCCCATAGGTCATTTCACCAGTATGAAAATTTGTAGAAGTAAAGGAGACAGCTTGACAGTAAGGTAAGTAAATAAACAAATTACAGTGGTACCTCGGGTTACATACGCTTCAGGTTACAGACGCTTTAGGTTACAGACTCCGCTAACCCAGAAATTGTACCTCGGGTTAAGAACTTTGCTTCAGGATGAGAACAGAAATTGTGCTCCGGCGGCGCGGCAGCAGCGGGAGGCCCCATTATCTAAAGTGGTGCTTCAGGTTAAGAACAGTTTCAGGATAAGAACAGACCTCCAGAACAAATTAAGTTCTTAACCTGAGGCACCACTGTACACCGAACTTTATCTGTTGGGCAGGGGGCAGAGACCAGCGTCTTCTTTTTTAATGACCAGTGAAGGAAACCATCACAGACATCCTGGATATCAGATCCATATTTTCCTTTCCAGAGTAGAAAGTCGCTTGGAACGCATCAGCGTCTTAACTCCTGAGTGAGGTTTATGCCAACTTCTTATTCTCCGCTTTGTCGCAAACTGAATTGTAGAATTCCAAGAGGAGCTTTGCAGATTTCCTGGGCCTCTCAAATGCTATGATGTGTCCACATCTCTCCAGCATATGCACCTGGGAGTTGGGAATGGCGTGGGCTAAAATTTCTGCGCCAGACGAGTCAGCCACCTAAACAACAAAGAATCGGTGTTTTTCCTCCCATTGCTATTCACATCTTGCAAAGTGCTTTGACTTTTTTTGTTGTTGCAAGAGTCTGGTTATGAGCTGCTGTTTGAGGTAGGAGTCGATCAATGAGTCCTACTAACTAGTGGAAGCCCCTGCATGTACTTCTGCTAGAGCAACAGGGCTTCCGCCCCCCTCCCCTTGTGCCCCAACCCCCGCAGGAGAACCCCCATAGCAACATGGAGGAGGAGAGTGGGAATCATTCAGTCTGACAAGCTGAAATGCTTGCACTGACAGCACAATTGCCATAATGAAACACTGAATTCCTCCTGTTGTTAAATTTTAAAACTGGTTGGATTTTATAACGTTGCTGTTTTTGGTAGTTGCTTAATGCATTTTGTGGATTCGGGTTTTGTTGTCTGCATATTTTATTGCTGTAAGCCGCTTTGGAGTTCTTTTTCGAAACAACAAAAAACTACATGTAGCGCTCAGCCCAATTTATCTGTGCCCTTCAGTTTCTTGAGATACACTGCTGTTTCCCCTCAAACCAGCTTCCCTCCAATTTGAAAATGTAAGTACAGTGGTGCCCCGCAAGACGAATGCCTCGCAAGACGGAAAACCCGCTAGATGAAAGGGTTTTCCGTTTTGGAGGTGCTTCGCAAAACGAATTTCCTATGTGCTTGCTTCGCAAGACGAAAATGTCTTGCGAGTTCCTGCGGGGTTTTTTTCCTTCCCCCCCTTTTTCCCAAGCCGCTAAACCGCTTATCAGCTGATGGCTAAGCCGCTTATCAGCTGATCTTTAAGCCGCTTAACAGCTGATGCTAAGCCGCTTATCAGCTGATCTTTAAGCCGCTTATCAGCTGATCTTTAAGCCGGCTAAGCGTAGCGCTAAGCCGCTAAACCTCTAATGGGCTTGCTTCGCAAGACGAAAAAACCCGCAAGACGAAGAGACTCGCTGAACGGATTCTTTTCGTCTTGCGAGGCACCACTGTAAGAGTTAAGCTTGTTAAGCATAGTGATTTAATTGGGAATGTTTAAATGTGTGTTTTGTTGTATGTTTAATTCTGGAATGTTCCCCAGTAACTCTCGTGTGATTGGTTAACTCTGGTCACACGGGAGGTATCTTATTACATTCTCCATTTTGTTTTGTGTGGGGGGGACTTGAGTGTAATGGCTGCATCTCCATGAGCACCGAAGAAGAGACAGCCTTAGATAACTCTCTCTCCAAATGCAATAGAGGAGAGCGGTGCCAATGCTTCTGTGTGAATGCATGTGACAGAGAAAAGTACAGAAGTTGATGTTCTCCCAAAGAAGCAGTAGAGAGAAGTTTGCTGGGAGGAGAAAGCGGAAACCTCTCAGAAGGAACTGCATGGCTTAGTTGGGCAGTGTGCAAAAGGCTGAGTGCAAGCGCTGGAAAGAGAGGAAGACACAGCTTGTTTGAATGTTTAAGGAAGAAGCTGCAATCTTCAGCTAAGAAGAACTAAGCCCATGCTTGGATAAGCAGCTGAATGTAAATACTTTGCATATATTCCTCTTTAGCCATATGTGCTGCAAGTAAACTTTTTTTGAATATTTTGGACATTGTTTTAATTTCAAGAAAAGAGTCAGTATTGTTGGCTTCCTAGCTGCAATTTAGTGTGTACATTTTAGACATGCACATGCACATGCACAGACAACAGCACATGACGGCTTAATTAATGGGTGCAGAGCCCAGGAGACCACAGAGGGCAGCCCACACCATTTTCTCCCTAGGGATGGGAGGAGACCAGCAATGCCTCCAATCTGCTGCCCCTGTGGATCCTGCCGCCTGAGGCAATTGCCTCAACTTGCCTCATAGGTAGGCAAGCCCTACTATGGAATCCAAACAATGGATTTTTTTGTTTTGTTACAATTATAGCTATAGAAGCCACGTGAATATAAAGCATTTACCTGGTCATCCTTTCCCCAAAGGACCTGTGTGGGAGCGCTAATATTGCTCATATTGTCATGAAGGCTGTACTTGGACTTTGGGTTGGAAAGATCTAAAAAACCTTTGGAACAAAAACCAAAAAGGTAGAGTGAAGATTTTTCAGGAAGGCATCATTCCTACTGTTGCATTTCAAATGGGTTCACTAGACAGATTTTGGCAGTTGCTGAAGACACATGCTTTTACCATAGCCTTTGAAACTTGAAATGTATATTTTTAGGGCCCAACCTGCTTGTGAATTTAAGTAGCTCCTAAACCGTTTTTACTGTTGTGTTTTGAATTAGAATCATAGAGTTGGAAGGGATCACGAGGATCATCTAGTCCAACCCCCTGCAATGCAGGAATATTTTGCCCAATGTGGGGCTTGAACCCACGACCTTGAGATTTAAGAGTCTCATGCTCTACCCCACCCTGGAGCCTCAGAATGTGAAGGGCAGGTAATAAACAGCAACGACAACACTAATATTATTGCTATCGTACTTACATTTTACCAAAAAAGCATTCTGTTGTCTCCAGTCGGCAACATATCCCTTTAGCAGCTAAGGAGAGGGGAAAAAGAGGTGAGTTATTCACAGGAAGTGCAAGGCAGTTAGGACCCCATCATGCAACAGGACGTAGCAGTTCCATCAATGTAGGCCAGGGGTCAGCAAACTTTTTCAGCAGGAGGCTAGTCCACTGTCTCTCAGACCTTGTGGGGGGCCGGACTATATTTTGAATTTTTTTAAAAAATGAACGAATTCCTATGCCCCACAAATAACCCCGAGATGCATTTTAAATAAAAGCACACATTCTACTCATGTAAAAACACCAGGCAGGCCCCACAAATAACCCAGAGATACATTTTAAATAAAAGGGCACATTCTACTCATGTAAAAGCACGCTGATTCCCGGACCGTCCGTGGGCTGGATTTAGAAGGCGATTGGGCCGGCTCCGGCTCCCCAGACCTTAGTTTGCCTACCCATGACGTAGGCAAAGGGAGGGGTGATAATCTCCTTGTTTTGGTTCATATAAAGTGGTTCCTTCAGGCACAGCTGCTTGGGGCTGGTGTACACCAGCTCCCTACCCCAATCTCTTTCCCCTGAGCCTCTAAGCCATTCCCATCCTCTTCAGCCAGGGCCTCAGTGGCAGTGATTCCCTCATGTGCCCTCTGTTTCTTCAGATCGCAAGCCCTGAAGGGATGGGCTGCATTATTTCCATATTTCAAGAGCATACAGCAAATGTAAGCATTTGGGGTTGTACTCAACTAAGTTTTATTCAGAGGAGACCCACTGAAATTAATGGACCTAAGTTAGTCGTGGCTATTAACTTTAGTGGGTCAAGGACAGACATAATGAACCTTTGGCCCTCCAAAGAGAGCCAGTGTGGTGTAGTGGTTAAGAGCGGTGGACTCGTAATCTGGTGAACCGGGTTCGCTTCCCCGCTCCTCCACATGCAGCTGCTGGGTGACCTTGGGCCAGTCACACTTCTTTGAAGTCTCTCAGCCCCACTCACCTCACCGAGTGTTTGTTGTGGGGGAGGAAGGGAAAGGAGAATGTTAGCCGCTTTGAGACTCCTTAAAGGGAGTGAAAGGCGGGATATCAAATCCAAACTCCTCCTCTTCTTCTTCTTCTTCTTCTTCCAGGTGTTGTCGAACTACAGCTCCCATCAGCTTCAAGAAGCATGGTGAATGAACAGGAATGAGGGCAGCTGTAGTTCAGCAACATCTGGAAGGCCAAAGGTTCACCACATCTGGTCTACCATGAGTCAAAGTTAGCTGAATTCTTTTAAGCAACATCCCTGGGCCCAGAGCACTACCGTCTTTGGACAGCTGCCTTCTTCACCTGCATGTTTTTTGTGCTGGGATGATATAAGCCAAGTTTGAAGACATCATGCGACTTAATCGATTGCTCCCTCAGGCGCTTGAAGGCGTTGTTATTATCGTCCGGATATCGCAGCCCTAAGAGTTGGCAGAGAGTGCACAGCTGAGAGAAGGAATATAGCGGCAAACCAATTCCAAAATATGGGATTCCGACCTGCCGCTTGTCAGGGTTGTGTTGGCATGATTGACAACTGAGGAGGTTATGCACATGCTGGGACTAAGTGAGGGTATGTGAGGACAGAAAGGTGGCCTGTCCAAGGTGTTTATAATCATGGATCTGCGATCATCCCTGTTCATTCACGTTCTGGAACATGCTACGGAATGGTAGCTTAGCACTAGGGAGGTTAGATCCTACTCAGAGCAGACCCACTGAATTTGGGAGTCCTGAGTTCATTTATTTCAATGAATCCGCTCTGAGAAGGACTAGTATTGGCTACAACCCATAGTGACAACCCCCTCCTCCCTTGTTATTCTCAGACATATTATCATGTCTTCTTTATTCAGAGTTAACCGGCTTCAGATCTCCCTGGAAAATCTACTCACCAAGTGGGCAAAGGAGGGACAAGCCGGATACCTCAGATGGATACTGAGCTGCGTAAACGCCAGCAATCATTCCGCCCATGGACATGCCAACCAGGTGGAAAGGCTTTTGGTTCAGACCAATGCACTCAACAAACTGAAACGTGAACGAAGAGAGGTTGTATTGCTGAGAGGTTCTGGTTTTGGGACATTTTCCAAGAAAGTCCCAGGTCTCTGTAAGAACTTCTGGAGAAGACCATAAGAAGAGCAATCAGGCAAATGACCCATCTAGCCCAGTATCTTGTTCTCAAAGTGGCCAAACTCACCACTCCCATCCTTGGCAAGTGCCACTGACAGTTGGGTGGGGGTTAAGACGCCAGGTCATCAGCGCAGTCCCACCCCACTGCCCTGCCAGCCAAAGCTGCTCAACAGACCTGGTTTGTACTCTAGGGACGTGGGTGGCGCTGTGGTCTAAACCACAGAGCCTAGGGCTTGCCGATTGGAAGTTCGGCGGTTAGAATCCCTGCGACGGGGTGAGCTCCTGCTGCTTGGTCTCTGCTCCTGCCAACCTAGCAGTTTGAAAGCACGTCAAAGTGCAAGTAGATAAATAGGTACCACTCTGGCGGGAAGGTAAACGGCGTTTCCATGTGCTGCTCTGGTTCGCCAGAAGAGGCTTAGTCATGCTGGCCACATGACCCGGAAGCTGTACGCTGGCTCCCTCGGCCAATAAAGCGAGATGAGCGCCGCAACCCCAGAGTCGTCCACGACTGGACCTAATGGTCAGGGGTCCCTTTACCTTTACCTTTCAGTAACCACAGTCAACTGCAATGCTTCCTTTTTGGTCAGGGAACATCTCTCCCTCACACCACCACCACACCACACAAAAAGAGGCCATCTTCTCACAACCTCTCACTTCCCAGGTTTCAAGGCACACCTGAGGACAGCTGGACCGTACCTGGTGTATCTTTTTAGCTTGATCAACCGCCACGTAACTGTCTCTCAGCAAACATGTGGTTTCACCGTGACCAGGCATGTCAAGGCAGACCAGGTGGAGGTCCTTCGGAAGGAACTGGGAAAGGTTGTCAAATCAGCGATGACGCCAAGGAATCAAAGCAATAATAGCTGATGTTCTTTGTTGTCAAAGAACACCCTGATGTTTCTCCAGTATAAGTGTATAAATGTTGCACAGAGTCCTGAGCGGGAGGCCATTAAATAGTGGCAAAATAGGGGAGTAGACAGCTCCTATTAAGCCGTAGGGTTAATTTAGCCCTGTCCTCTAGCACAATGCACTGGGTGGAATGATCTCCCACACTAGCCCAACTGAAACAAATCACAATTGTGGAGAAGTACAGGACTCCCCTGCCCCCCAGCACAATATGTCTTGCACTAGCCTTGATTTGGCAACCGTGGTTGCCTGAATAGAAGGGCAGAAACATACTTTGATTGTATTTAACCATATGTCCTTGTTGAAAGCCAATCCATGAAGAATCAGCACAGATGGCTGGAGTCCGGGTTCCCCTCGGCAGAAGTAGCAGAACCTGTAGCCCTCGTGCTCAACATAATTCACTGCCACACCCCTTTTCTGACGTTTGTACCTAAAAGCAGAAAGAGAAGCAAAATGAACGGACAAAGTATTTTCATCTGGAGGGATGTTTTTGCAGTGGCTTCCAATTAAAGTAGGGGCTTTAGGATTTCTGCGGCTCTGCTGCTTGCATCGGATTGCCCATCTGCGAAATGGGTATAATTCAGCCCAGCCGTCAAACCAGTTGTTTTCCTGGGCATTTGGGCAGTGATTGGCTGTTTCTATTCTATGTTGATGTATTTTTTATTTTTGTCTTTTATCCTCATTGTAAATCCATTTGGGACTTCTTTTGTGAGAATGTTCAGGGACGCAGGAGAAGATATATTGTTTATTAATATCCTTGCTAACTTTCGTTAGCAAGTTCCTTCACATAGCAGAGTTTACATTCCCCTTTTACATGCACAGCAGATAGCTGGTTGCAGGCTTGTGTAAGACTCTCACTATCATACAATTCAGTATTGGATTGTATGTTCCTCATAAGTTCCCTTTTATCCCTCTTAAAAGAATAAAGACATGGCAATCTTATTTAAAGTCAAGAAAAGAAGTTTACTCGCATCAGTTCACCGTTATATCCCTGAAGGCAGACTTAGTTACAAATATGTACTTGTGGATCTACCCCATATGGAGGGTTAATCCCAGAGCTTCTGCTAGCTGAGAAGGTGCAAATGTCATAAACCTAACCTAAACCTAAGACATGGAAATCATTCCATATACCCTCCTAGAGATACACTCACCATATCATGATCCTGGATAGTTTTGCCCTAGGCAGCAGGTGGCACACTGTGACAAGGGTCAGTGCAGAGATTAATCCAGCGATGCTCATAATCTTCAAGAATATATTGGCCAGAGAGAGCTCCATGCTGGGTAGCCAAACGCTCTTCTTTGCTGCCTGTACAAATAAAAGAATTGGGTAATAGTTCAAGTGAATATGGTCAATTATTATGGGAGGGAAAGAAAGCAGTGTATTAAAATTAAGGTTCGCCACCTAAATGTCTTGTGCTGTTAGATGTTTCTTCAAAAGAGAGGCAAGGAAGAGTAGTACCAGGAGTATACAGTGGTACCTCGGGTTACATATGCTTCAGGTTACATACGCTTCAGGTTACAGACTCCGCTAACCTAGAAATAGTATCTTGGGTTAAGAACTTTGCTTCAGGATAAGAACAGAAATCGTGCTCCGGCAGCACGGCAGCAGCAGGAGGCCCCATTAGCAAAAGTGGTACCTCAGGTTAAGAACAGTTTCAGGTTAAGTATGGACCTCCGGAACGAATTAAATACTTAACCTGAGGTACCACTGTGCCATTTTTAACAAAACTGGATTAAAAGTAAGTGCCATACATTTAAAGCACACTTATACCATTTTAACAGTCATGGCTTCCCCTAAAGAATCCTGGGAACTGTAATATGCTAAAGGTGCCAGGAATTGTGGCTCTGTGAAGCATCTCTTGACAACTCTCAGCACCCTTAACAAACTACAGTTCCCATGAAGCCATAACTGTTAAATCAGGGCTTTGTGACAGTACTCACAGGGACTTCAAATAATCACTAACTCTGTCCTGCCGTGTTTCAGCTTGTTGTCCGGATCCACTGGAAGGAAACTACTTCCTAGAGGTGTTGCCAAAATAAAGCACTGTTGACATGTTGCTCAAAGTTTCTGGAAATGGATCAGGGATAGTGGGAATTGCATTACAACAACATCTGAAGAGTCACAGATTTCCCACCCTTTCCTTACAATACGATGGCCTGTTGCAAGAAGCAAGGGCGCCCTTGATAGTCTTCCCTGTGATTCATTCATGTTCATAGCACATGTGTTGCTGTAGCCACCTTTTCCAATGTAGACAAACACGTCCCATGTTGTAGGGTATAACTATTTTAGTACAGGCCTGTACCAGGGATGAAGAAGCTGTTGCCCTCCAGATGTTTATAGAATCATAGAATTGTAGTGTTGGAAGAGACGCCAAGGGCCATTTAGCCCAATCCCCTGCAGTGTAGGAATTTCAGCTAAAGCACCCTTGATAGATGGCCATCCATCTTCTGCTTAAAAACCTTCAAGGAAGGAGAGTCCACAACTTCCTGGAGGAGACGGTGGTGGGACTCCAACTCCCATCATTCCTTGGCACTGGCCATGATGGAGGAGGGCTTTGGGGAGTTGGAGGCCAACATCTGGAGGGCCACCAGTCAGACTAAGGTGCCATCCTATACCCACTTACCTTGGAGTAAGCCTCACTGGACCCAAATGGACTTATTTCTGAGCTTTGTTTTGGATTACACTTAGATCTACTTTCTTCTTTTAAGGAAAAAGAAGAAGTACAGTGGTACCTTGGTTCTCAAACTTAATCCGTTCCGGAAGTCCATTCCAAAACCAAAGCGTTCTAAAACCAAGGTGCACTTTCCCATAGAAAGTAATGCAAAATGGATTAATCCGTTCTAGACTTTTAAAAACAACCTCTAAAACAGCAATTTAGCATAAATTTTACTATCTAACAATACCATTGATTCATAAAATGAAAGCAATAAACAATGTACTGCAGTCACACAATCAATCAATCAGTAGCTGAACTGGGTTCCACATAGTCACAAAAGCAACAAAAAATAGCCACAAAAACAAAAACCCAAAATAAATAGCAAAAACAAACAGACCTCAGCATAACACTCAAAACGGAAGTGTGGCACCCAAATCGGAAGCATAACACGTTCGGCTTCCGAAGAAAGTTCGCAAACTGGAACACTTACTTCCAGGTTTGCAGTGTTTGGGTTCCAAGTTGTTTGAGTACCAAGGCATTTGAGAACTAAGGTACCACTGTAATAACCATCTGTATAGACAAAAACTTTACCATACTTGTTTTAGATCCCAGTACACTTTACACGTAACAGAAAAGTTGCTTCCAAGAATACAGTGCATTCAAAGAAACCTGAACACTCATGTTTTCCCACCAAAATAATTTAAAGCCATCAGCATTTCAATTTCTAGGATGCCTGTAAATCTACTGTTCTTAAAACCTACCCCATCATACAACAAACATATTAGCAGTGCCATTTTTCTAGAAAAAGGGGTGCCAGAACTCACCATGAACACCTCCTTTGTTCTCTTAGAATGAGTGCCAGAACTGAGTTCCACTGAGTTCCAGCTGAAAAAAAAGCTGTGCATATTAGCAAAACATTGTTCACAAAGATTTCAGATTTTGCTCCTGAAATGCTATGCTGTATGATAAAGCTAAATCTTCTGAAAACACTAGCTGAAGTCCAATAGCATATGGAAAGCCACAGGTTCCCCATCCCTGATTTAGACAAAATAACAATGCGTCTTAAAATACTCCGTTCTAAAATGCCTGCTCCTATAGGGAAACAAAACCATGAGAGGATGAGATCTAGCTGCTTGTAAACAAGTATTACCTGCTTTATCGTGCATATTAAATAATTAAAAAATCCATAGTTATACAACCACTTCAAGCAAAAACAAAAGGCAAGCAAAATTAGACTCTTATAACAATACATCTGAAACAACCCACTCATGTACACCAAACTTTATTTCCAGTCAAAGCAACTGAGAAATATAATACTTACTACCAGATTGAGACAGTATTGCCCAGGATACAGCCACTGGCAAAGATTCAAGTCACCAATGCTTCCCCGAGAGGGTTATAGTTTAATTATGAGGGCTAGGCAGCTGCTCACTCTAATTAGCAATTAGCCAATATTCCAGTTTTGCTCAATAGAACATGAGTTACCAGAGTATGCACCTTGTCACAAATTATTTGACTAACATATTGAACTTCTTAATTGCTTTCAGGCTCTCTGTAAATAAAACTTAGGCCGTCAAGTCTAGATTATTTTACAGAAATGGCCAGCACAGGGGGTTTGTCCCCATGGAGGGGAAAAGATTAGAAAATTAACATAGGTAACAAAATAAAAAACCATGTGAATGAATGCATTATCAAAGCCAGTGCAGATCCAACAAATAGATAGTGGATCCCAGTAGTCAAAATGAATGAAATAATGAACCAAATTTGCAATCCAAAATACCAGGTTGCCCAAAGCAGAGATCACCCTGGAACACACCTTATCATACTGCTGATACATAGCTCTCCCTGCATTTCTTAAAATAAATATTCTGAGAAGTAGCAGCCACTGTTCATCACTATAGCATAAACATACCTACAAAAGCACTTTTCTTCAGATGATGGAAACACACACAAAGACTGGGGTGGGGTGAGCTTGTAGCCTTTTCCAGCCAGATGACTTCCTAATGTTTTGGCACTGTAGTCAAAAACATCTGGAAGCCCCCGGGTTGAGGACGCTTGGCTTAAAGTATTTGCCCTGCTCAGAGACAGACACTTGATCTTTTAACTGCTGTTGCAGTTTCCTGAATTATCCAGACTCAGTTACTCAATATTATGGTTTTTCTTTTTCTTTTCTAGGATCAAATCCTGCAACAAATACATTTATTTCACCATGGACAACATCTGGGGACCCAAGATTGAAGAACATGGCTCTAGGTGACCTATGTAGTAGAGGCAGTAGTATTTGCCAAAATCAGCTATGTTCTTTTCCCCATGGTTTGGAAAAAGGAGAATAATCTGTTAAAATAAGGCCCGCATTTTCGTCATATGTGGTAACCCCCATCAGGTCTAACTGGCCTGTAGTTGCCTTCTGATGACAAGATTCATCAGCCCTAGGAAGCAGAAGCAGTTGTCTCCTTGCACAGGAATCCCAGTAAGATTATTTGTCAGAGCAGCCATCTGCTGACATCCAGTGCCGGATTGACGTATAAGCTATAGCTTAGGCCCCCCCACCCAAAAACATTAAAGTAAAACAAACCTGGATGTACATTTCCAAAATATAAGATAAAAAACCAAATAAAATAAAACCTACATACAGCAACAGTGTTTTGCATTGTATATGGACCTATTAGGTCCATAAATTACCACATAGCATATATTCAACACAAAAAACAGCAACAATTTGTTGTTGACAAAAGACAGCTGGACATATAAAGGGCCCCATTACCTTTAGTAGTTTAGGGCCTCATCAAACCTAAATCCGGGCTTGCTGAGATCCATCAGTTAATCTCCATAACAAAGGGAAGGCACTGAGCAACCTTGCCAGGATTTTATTAACAAATTATAAATGGTTCCCAGGTCTTTCTTATGCCACCTTCAGTTGTAGAAACCCCATTCACATAAATCTTAAGAGCCAAGGCTCCAAAGTCAAATTTCTGAAAATGTTTCCTGGATAAAATATGCCTGTGGGCATATTTTAAATCTCATAGATCATCTGCGTAAGCTGCCATAAAATGTTCTGGGTGCAATTTGATCCTTCAATCATCTGGGAAAGATTCTCTTCCGGCCATCCTGCGTTGTGATTCCTGCTGTGATTGTTTTGCTTCAGGGCCTTTTTTTGGTATGCTACTGTAGATTTTGTTTGGACTGCCTCTCTCCATATGAAGCAACCTGAACCCTGCAATCATCATCTGAGGTCCTTCTTTGTCTGCCTCCTCCACCAGAGGCCTCTAGAAGACAGCAACACAAGAGCAGGCCTTTCCTGTGGTGACTCTCTGCTTGTGGAATGCTCTCCCCAGGGAGGTTCTCCTGGCACCTTCGTTGCATATCTTTAGGCAACAGGCAACCACATTCCTCTTCTCCCACGCCTTTATTGTTGTTCAGTTGTTTAGTTGTGTCTGACTCTTTGTGACCCCATGGACCAGAGCACGCCAGGCACTCCTGTTTTCCGCTGCCTTCCCCTGTTTGGTCAAACTCACGTTAGTAGCTTCGAGAACACTGTCCAACCATCTCGCCCTCTGTCGTCCCTTTCTCCTTGTGCCCTCCATCTTTCCCAGCATCAGGGTCTTCTCCAGGGAGTCTT